CAGACCAGACATCCACGAAGGCGACCTCGTCCTACTGAAGGACAACCAAGCCAAACGGAATGAGTGGCCAATGGGCCGTATCCTCAAGTCGATTCCAAGTGCCGATGGAAAAGTTCGAAAGGTCGAGATTATGATTGCGAAGCAAGGTGTCGCAAGAACTTTCTTCAGGCCCATAGTCGAGACAGTACTACTTCTCTCTCGCAAAGATATGGACAAATAAGTTGACCCATTGAAGTTGTTATACACTTGTTTATGAGATAGGAAATAAATGGTGGTATCTCCTAGATACCAGACGGGGAGTGTTCTGCCTCACGGCAAGTGTCTTGCCTCACGGCAGATGTGGGCGTGTGTACACAGGAATTTCCTGTTTTTGAAATAGGGGGTGGTCACGTGACCAGGAAGTTGCGATTTTAGATTTCTGCTGAACCACGCGGGCGTCGGCCATTAAAAACATAATTCAAGATGGCGGCACACATCGCAGCTCTGTGAAGACAGCTGCAGCCACCGTTGTGGGACTTTGGGAAGCATTGTCTGTAAGTTCGTTTGTGTTCTTATGATACTGGCAATGTTGCTATAATATTAGAAGACCTTTATAATGCTGTTATAACGCTAGAACCTTTATAATGCTGTTAAATTGTTACGATGTATGTGGGGCCTAGTTGACAATAAAGCCTGCAGCTTGCCTTGTGATTTACCAGTAATCGAGGAAATAGATTCAAACTTGAAATAACAAAATGTCTCATTCATAAGACAACGTTATGATGCTGTTGTGTTTATTCATTGTTGGTTTTTCTGGGTATTAACAGATGCTGTATCTGTGCTATTTTCTTACCAGTTTTACCTCTCTCTACCGTTCAATTTCAATAAATGACGTTCGGAGTCAGATGTTTACCCTGGCTCTGAGGGTTTATTGGAAACGCGAGGTTATCTACTCAGCTAGCTCTGCAACGCAACGCAGAGCGAGGCCGAGACATTGATCCTAACAAAGGCATTCCGATCCGCACCCCTTTGGCCTCCTGACTCGTGCTTGTGTGTGTGCGGTTTCACTTGCGGTGACTCAACGGCCTCTGCTGTGACCACGTAACTTTAATATCAGGTCACGGCGCCGCGTTCCATGTCAGCCACGGGGGGAGATCGCCCAATACCCCGGCCGCAGGAAACAATGAAGCTTGATCCCATTAGGGGCTTCTGGATAAAAACCCGTCGGCCAGGTGATCTCCCCTTCCGGCTCTATGTGGGGTGTATGTGCGTTCGTGCAAGGGGGGGGGGGGGGGGGGTGGTGGAAGCGAGGCGTGCCACGTCGGCGTTGTCACCCCCCGGTGGTGGTGTCACGGCGGTGGGCACCACACAGGCCTCTCTCACGAGCACGGGTGTGATGAACAGCAGGCCTCTCTCACCAGCACGGGTGTGATAAACAGCAGGCCTGTCTCGCCAGCACGGGTGTGCTGAACAGCAGGCCCCTCTCACCAGCACAGGTGTGCTGAACAGCAGGCCTCTCTCACCAGCACGGGTGTGCTGGACAGCAGGCCCCTCTCACCAGCGCAGGTGTGCTGAACAGCAGGCCTCTCACCAGCACGGATGTGCTGAACAGCAGGCGTCTCTCACCAGCACAGGTGTGCTGAACAGCAGGCCCCTCTCACCAGCACAGGTGTGCTGAACAGCAGGCCTCTCTCACCAGCATGGGTGTGATGAACAGCAGGCCTCTCTCACCCGCACGGGTGATCAAGCAAAACAAGACAAAACCGGACAAAACAGGGCGCACCAACCGGCCAAGGCTGCCATCATCTGCGCCAACCGAAAGAACCAAGAATATGGTAGCACATTCTCTATTTATTGCAGAGGTTCAAGGTTCAAATCCGACAGGCACACCTGGCTACCCCAGTAACATTCACCACGATATGCGCAGTCTGCTTAACGGCAGATGTAAAACATAGCGTTGTGTTATTCACAACGCACAGGTCATTGCATGTTGGTGTCACGGTCAAAACTGGGGTAATTCCAAACATTATCCAAAAACTACACAACGGAGATGGCGCGTCAATGATCGTCCCCTACCGACAGACTCATGTCCACGTGCAGGCCGGTGCAGGGCCACCTTGTGCCACACAGGGGCAACTGCCACTTAGGGGGGGGGGGGTCCTTCGATTGTTCGAGATGAGATTCGATATGAAACACCGAGTTGCTGAGGCAATTAGGCAAGCGACTTATGAGTAAAAATATGATGTTGGTAACGTAGTGAAAGCTTGGGAGCTTCATTGCCTCTTGCTCCTGCTGACAGATGTACCCAGCCCACAGCTCCACAGATACCAGCCACTCCTACTGTGCAGGGTCGGCTATGTACGGTGCGAAATAAGTTCCAGACACACACAGAGACTCACACAGAGACCCACAGATTAGCATGGTTGGCTACGTATGGTGCGACATAATTTCAACGTACAGAGACTCAGAGCAAGTTTGAGTCGCGTGCAGTCGTGGGCCGTGAAAGTTGGACGGTTGCATGTTGCTACTGACAGTAGTTGAATACAGTTGGAAAGACGCTGATAGAGACACACACAGAGACTGACAAGAGAGAGGTGGACAGACAGACAAGAGGAAGACGGAAAGAAAGATACAGAGACGACAGAGACACAGTCGGCGAGAGAGAGACACAGAGGGGAACAGAGACACAGACGGACAGAGAGATGTTGACTCGAATACGCTTAACTCGCTCCATTGAGATTCCTCAATCTTTGCCCATCCCCGGAATTAAGTCGTTCTAGTTTCATTTTATTTCATTGTGTGTGGTGTGCACGTGTAAGCAATGTGGGATATCGATGTACACAGCTATGAACAAGATCAGCAGACAAGACGTCTTTCATACTCTTTGGTTCTTTCGGTAAAGTCACGCAGGTAGAAGAAATAAAATAATAAAATAACACGGCGTTTCGATCGCAACACGAGCGGTCGTCCTTAGGCGAAAACATCCAGACATTGTCACGGCAGAAGTCGCGTGAGCTACGGCACGTGACAAAGGTGCCCCCCCACCCCCCTCCGTGACTCGCCCCGCTCAGCTGAGCATCGTTTTAATGCGGTGGGCTCACGCGAAATTTATTTCTGTAAGACGAAGGTACTTTGAAAACCCACTGGCTAAACTCTTTTATATAAGCGCACAACTTAATCTGTGACGAACGCTGCACTTTCCATCGTTATCATGCAAGGGGTGCTGCTAACCTACGCACCCCCTGCATGAACGACGGAGGCGCAGGGACAGACGTTCGATCGCGTTGGAATCGATCTGCAGACGGCGGTCTTCTCGCACGGCCAGCTCTGTCGCCTCATCTCGATCCCGCGATCCCAACCAGGTGAAAGTCCACATCGATCCGAACCCCTGGCAAGGCCATCTACTTAACGATGAGAGAAAATTTACACGAAATGTCGTTTTCAATTAAGCTTTTAATGAAGAAATACAATTATCTAATTCAAAACAAAATGTGATTCAAAGTTGTTTCATTTTAAAACTTCAAAACGGAGCATCGGGAGCTTGCGTGGATGCGTCGTTCGTGTGCAATTTTTTTCGTGACTTTCCTGGCCCCAGGCCGTAAATGGCTGTGAGGGTGCCGCAGGCGATCTGGCTTGCTTCAACCCATGGTTGTGAACATCCAGACGTTAATCAGCAAGGACCATTTCTTGTCCTAATTCGACAAAACCTACGTCAACACGTAATACAAAATTATAATTCGTGTTGTAGAGAATGTATCTCCTCCACGTGTAACTTTTGAGTGGTATGCCTTGAAACTGATTAATGATACGAGTGTGCTCCCTATTTACAAGACAATGAGTTGCTCCAGAGGGAGATGTTTCCTGAAAACACAAAAATACCCTTTGTCCTGTATCACCAGAACAATGAGTCTCACCTGAGTTCTGTACAGGTTACTTCCAAAACACACACTTTGTCCTCACATCACTTATGCAATGTTTGACTCTTATAGACAAAATGTTACATGTACGCACACAATCAGACAAGTATGCATTCTAAATTATTGACAGGAATATTAACAAAATTGAATTACTGCAGTGAAATATACTGCATCAGGTTACATCGCATTAACAAGCTATTTAAAAAATACGCTTAACAGTGTATGTACAACATACTATTGCGCCATTCAAAACGAGTAGGCCATTGCATGCTGGCGTCTGGGTCAAAATTGATCAAATTCTAAACATTACCTACAAACTGCACAACTGAGATGCCACATCCACCATCACCCTCTACTGACAGGCTCTTGTCCACATGCAGGCCGGTGCAGGGCCACCACCTTGTGCCACACAGGGGCAGCTGCTACTTGGGGATGCTCTTCGAGTGTTTGAGACGATATACGATGCAAAACTCCGAATTGCCAGAGGCAATTAAGCAAGCACCATATAAATGGAATTATTAAAACCAAGTGAACGCTTGTGAGCTTATTGCCTCTCGCTTCTGGTCAGAGATCTACCCAACCCACAGGTCCACAAAGACTGGCCGCTCTTACCCTGCAGGTTGAACCTAAGAATTGAGTGTTCAACTTCATTCTTGTCATTAAAGGCCTGTGACAAAGGTGCATCTATTGCAGTGACATCGTCTCAAGCTTACACATGACCGGTTCTCCATTTGACTTTGTATTGTCTCGGAGGAAGTCCACCCACACCTCCACTTCCACAAACTGCTGGGAGTTTCCTCGCTCTGCCTCGCAGTCAGAATTTTCCTCCTGCTTCACGTTGCTTCCATCGATGTGAAGGTCCGATTTTGGAGTTGAATCTTCATCTTCACATTTTACCCTCACTTCTTCGCTCTTCGCCGTCACTTCTTCACATTTCACCTTCACCTCTTCATATTTCACCTCGATACCTTTAAAAGTGTCCAAGCTGGGATTTTCTCCCGGTTCTTGTTTCATGAGGGATGAGCTCATTGCGGCACTTTGACTTTCACAAGCTGATTTCAGACTCCACTCCTTGTGGATCTTCTGATGCTTGTGAGTTCTCTGGTGTACATGACGATTTGATGAACGTGAAAACGCCTTCCCACACACACTGCACTTGAAGGGTTTCTCTCCCGTGTGTGTTCTCTGGTGTTCTACAAGAGTAGATGACTGTGCACACGCCATCCCACACACACTGCACTTGAAGGGTTTCTCTCCCGTGTGTGTTCTCTGGTGTACATGAAGATTTGGTGAAAGTGCAAACGCCTTCCCACACACACTGCACTTGAAAGGTTTCTCTCCGGTGTGTGTTTTCTGGTGTACTTGAAGATGTGGTGACTGTGCAAACGCCTTCCCACACACACTGCACTTGAAGGGTTTCTCTCCCGTGTGTGCTCTATGGTGTGTTATAAGAGCAGATGAATGTGCAAACGCCTTCCCACACACACTGCACTTGAAGGGTTTCTCTCCTGTGTGTGTTCTCTGGTGTGTTACAAGTGTAAATGAAAGTGCAAATGCCTTCCCACACACACTGCACTTGAAGGGTTTCTCTCCCGTGTGTGTTCTCTGGTGTCTTTGAAGATGTGGTGACTTTGCAAACGCCTTCCCACAGACACTGCACTTGAAGGGTTTCTCTCCCGTGTGTGTTCTCTGGTGTATTACAAGAGTAGCTGAATGTATAAACGCCATCCCACACACATTGCACTTGAAGGGTTTCTCTCCAGTGTGTGTTGTCTGGTGTGTTACAAGAGTAGTGAAACGTGAAAACGCCTTCTCACACACACTGCACTTGAAGGGTTTCTCTCTTGTGTGTGTTCTCTGGTGCTGTATCAAATGTGCAGGACGATCCGTGCTGTTTGCACGCCGGTCGCATTGTTGCCTTTTTGCACCGAGCCGCGCCGAGTGCCTTTGCTCCATCAGACAAATTCTGCAGAGGAAGCGACAGCTGCAGACAGAAAAAAAATTATATCCACGTCATCTACACGTCAGTATCGATGCACAGAGGAATGCATATATACATGTCTATACTTATTCATATATTCATGACATAGTGAAAAAGTGTCCCAAATTCATCACACGGGCTGCTATGGCACACAATGAGAGGGCAAATGTTCATAAACATGCCTGGAAGCCCTAGTATCTTCAAAATGAATGTTAACCCAAAACTCCGAGCACACAATTTCGCCTATCTGGCTTCAAAAGGAATATTTATGAAAGCTAAATTCAGCTGACATAGCAAAGGGTGTGGAAAATAGTACTATATGTGCTATGCAGAAATGCATAAATAAATGTTCAATCGCAACTTAGAGGTGTGAAGCCAGGCACAGTTGTCCTTGAATGCTGGGATGAACAGTTCCAACTTCAGCTGCATGTGTGCTGTGATAACTTCCCGACTCCATTCTTACAATGAGTTCCAGAGGAAAACAAAAATAAACTACTGTTTTGATATAACCTTCGTGCACAATAGAGTTAATAGACTTCACTGCAAATAAAAACTTGACACTGTCACACACTCAGAGGTGGAGCCAGGATTTTCAGGTAGGGGGGGCAACCCCTCCAGCAATGAAAAATGATAGGAGTTATTAGTAAGTAGGGAGTTGTTAGTAAGGAGTTGTTATTAAGTAAGGAGTTGTTTTGATTTAAAGCTTTCGTGACTGCAGTAATTCATATTCTTAGCTCTTTCGGTAAAGTCACATAGAAGGGAAACAATAAAATAATAAAATATATACACAACAATAAAAATTCTCACGACGTTTCGACCATAACACAAACGGTCATCATCAGGTGTGAAAAACCAAAGGAAAGAAACATTTGAAAGAAGTGGCGGTTTGCATTTATTTATTTTTAAACGGTGCATTTATTTATTTTAAAAAAACCGTTAGCACCACGGGCAGCGATTTGGCAGTTTGTTTAGAAGGACGAGTCCATCTATGTTCTGAAAAGAGGAGGGGGGAGACGAAAAATTAATGTATGCTGTCTGAAAGCCACCATAAGCGTGAACAATTAAGACCTGAAATGGTTTATCAAATCCTTCCAATGATTGCTAAGCCAGAATCCATCTTCTCGGTTGAAATTTTCTCTGTGGATAGCCTCATGAATGTTCATTAGTAACTAGCTTTACTACCTGGCTTCGCCCGGGACTTGGATTCTTGTCTTGGATATATTTCAAATTTCATATTCCCTTATCTGTGTTGCGGGTTGACGCCACGCACACCATGGTCATTTCCCCCACCCCCCCAAAATACCAAAGTATATTTTAATACTTTGAATGTTCATGAAGCTATCCACATATACAAGCACAGAGACAATTTCAAATGAGAAGATGGATTCTGGCTTAGCAATCATTGGAAGGATTTGATAAACCATTTCAGGTCTTAATTGATTGTTCACGCTTACGGTGGCTTTCAGACAGCATACATTAATTTTTCGTCTCCCCCCTCCTGTTTTCAGAACATAGATGGACTCGTCCTTCTAAACAAACTGCCAAATCGCTACCCGTGGTGCTAACGTTTTTTCTTTTAAAAAATAAACAAATGCACCGTTTCAAAATAAATAAATGCAAACCGCCACTTCTTTCAAATGTTTCTTGCCTTTGGTTTTTCACACCTGATGTTATGGTCGAAACGTCGTGAGAATTTTTATTGTTTTATATATATTTTATTGTTTCCCTTCAACGTGACTTTACCGAAAGTGCTAAGAATATAAGGAGTTGTTAGTAAGTAATTGTTAGTAAGGAGTTGTTAGTAAGGAGTTTATATTAAGTAAGGAGTTATTAAGTAAGGAGTTGTTATTAAGTAAGGAGTTACGTTGAAGAGAAACAACAAAATAACAAAATATATATAAAACAATAAAAAATTCTCACGACGTTTCGACCATAACTCAAACGGTCATCATCAGGTGTGTCGGTTTGCATAAATTTATTTTGAAAACGGCATATTTATTTATTTATATAAATAACGTTTGCGTCACGCGCAACGATTGGCTGTTTGCCAGGACTAGTCCATCTATTTTTTGAAAAGAGGAGGGGGGAGACGAAATTTGTTTTTATGTATGCTGTCTGAAGCCACTGTAAGCGTGAACAATCAATCAAGAACTGAAATGATTTATCAAATCTTTCCAATGATTGCTAAGATAGAATCCATCTTCTCGGTTGAAATTGTCTCTGTGTTTGTATATGTGGATAGCCTCATGAACGAATCTCTCATGGAAGCCAGATGGCTTACAAAGAACCTCCGTCTTGGAAAAGTCAATGGCATGTGAGCCTACTGAATTAGAACAATGATCTGCTACGGCCGAGGTGTTGGTCCTACCGTGTTTAAGGTCTGCTTTATGTTCACGAATGCGGTCCGAGATATGGTGTTTGGTTTCTCCAATGTAACTACTACCACAGAGGCAACTTAGTTTGTAGACACCAGGGTATTGTATGTCCGGAATCACATCTTTTACAGACGGAACCAGATCACGGATTTTATGTAATGTGTCGAAACGGACCTGGATCTTGTGTTTATTCAAGATTTTGGAGATCTTTTTTGTGATCCCAGCAATGTAGGGTAAAGTGATGGTTTTGAAAGGCTCCTCAAGAGGGTTCTTCTTCATGGTTTGAGTGATAGCTTTGCGGATTGTATAGTCGGAGTAACCATTAGCCCTAAGAGCTTGGTGTACGTGCTTGAGTTCACTGCTTATGTGTTCCTGGTCGGATATGCATTGGGCTCTATGATACAGAGTCTTGATGAGAGAATTCTTCTGTGATGGATGGTGGTGGGAATCCGGTTTCAGATAAGCATCCGTATGGGTAGCTTTCCTGTAGACAGAGTGGCTCATTGAACCATCAGGTCTCTTTTTAATTAGGACATCCAAAAAAGGTATCTTGCCATCTATTTCGACTTCCATGGTAAATCTGATGGCTGGGTGTATGGAATTGATGTGGTCGAAGAATTGGTCTAGAGCAGGCCGGCCATGTGGCCAGATGACAAAAGTGTCATCCACGTACCTCTTCCATAAGGTTGGGCGCAGAGTGGCAGTCTGGATGGCGTCAGTCTCAAATTTCTCCATGAAAATGTTAGCTATAACTGGAGAAAGGGGGGAGCCCATTGGGGTGCCCTCAGTTTGTTTGTAGAAAGTTCCATTCCAAGTGAAGTATGTATTGGTTAAACAGTGTCTCACCAGGGGGGGTACCTCAGTGTTTAGTCCTTGATGAACCAAGTCTTCAATGATTGCAATGGTGTCAGGTACAGGAACCTTGGTGAATAAGGAAACTACATCAAAACTGACAAGCAGGTCGTCTGGGGACAGGGAAATACCCTTGATTGTTGATACCAGGTGAGTAGAATTTTGTACCGCAGAGGTGGTCTTTCCAGTGAAAGGACGCAGGATTTCAGACAAAAAACGAGCTAGTTTGTAGGTGGGGGAGCTGATAGTAGAGACTATGGGACGAAGAGGTGTATCAACTTTATGTATTTTTGGTAAGCCGTATAATCTTGGTGGCCTGGCAGCATATCTCGGACCGCATTCGTGAACATAAAGCAGACCTTAAACACGGTAGGACCAACACCTCGGCCGTAGCAGATCATTGTTCTAATTCAGTAGGCTCACATGCCATTGACTTTTCCAAGACGGAGGTTCTTTGTAAGCCATCTGGCTTCCATGAGAGATTCGTTCATGAGGCTATCCACATATACAAACACAGAGACAATTTCAACCGAGAAGATGGATTCTATCTTAGCAATCATTGGAAAGATTTGATAAATCATTTCAGTTCTTGATTGATTGTTCACGCTTACAGTGGCTTCAGACAGCATACATAAAAACAAATTTCGTCTCCCCCCTCCTCTTTTCAAAAAATAGATGGACTAGTCCTGGCAAACAGCCAATCGTTGCGCGTGACGCAAACGTTATTTATATAAATAAATAAATATGCCGTTTTCAAAATAAATTTATGCAAACCGACACACCTGATGATGACCGTTTGAGTTATGGTCGAAACGTCGTGAGATTTTTTTATTGTTTTATATATATTTTGTTATTTTGTTGTTTCTCTTCAACGTGACTTTACCGAAAAAACTAAGAATATGAATTACTGCAGTCACGAAAGCTTTAAATCAAAATTTAAGTAAGGAGTTGTTAGTAAGTAAGGAGTTGTTAGTAAGGAGTTGTTACTAAGGACTTGTCCTATGATTTTTATTCTACGCATGTGATAGGCATCGCGCTCGCTGAAGGTGTTTGCCATCAGGGAAGTCGTGTACTGTATACACAACTGCGCACAATTCTGTGAGTCGCTTGTAACTGCTTTGCCGTTACTTATTGCCAATTATGGACTCGGACTGTTGTCCTTTCATAGAGTCCCTGGCACGTAATAATATGCCACACGGTGGCAGTGGGGGTCGCAAAATGCTAATTTATCTATATATATAAAAGGGAAATGTGTGGATGTGTCTGTTTGAAATGTTCAGCATACTTCCCAACATGCTACACACTTGAAATTTGGCATGTGGGTAGCTTCCAGACTGGGCACAATGCACAAAGTATTAAAATATACTTTGGCATTTTGGGGGGGTGGGGGAAATGACCATGGTGTGCGTGGCGTCAACCCGCAACACAGATAAGGGAATATGAAATTTGAAATATATCCAAGACAAGAATCCAAGTCCCGGGCGAAGCCAGGTAGAAAAGCTAGTTACTAATAAACCCCAATGATCCCATCGAAATTAGGGATTTCGATCGGACCGTTGGGGGGGCACGTGCCACCCCACCCCCACTGGCTCCACCACTGTCACACACTGGCATGGTTCACAGGTGGTGGTGTGTCCTGACCCACGCCTGGCCAC